CCAACTTTGCCTAAGTCCGAGTTCCCTGTAATTCCAAAACCTGAGCTACCAACTCTACCAAAGCCCGAACTGCCAAAAATCCCAAAGCCCGAGTTACCAACATTGCCAAAGCCCGAACTGCCAAAAATCCCAAAGCCCGAGTTACCAACATTGCCAAAGCCCGAACTTCCAGCATTGCCAAAACTCGAGATACCTGTTATTCCTAAGCCTGAATTACCAACTTTGCCAAAGCTAGAAATCCCTCAAGTACCTAAAAAGCCTTGAGCGCGAGGCGTATAAAATCATATTTGCTTCGTTGAAGCAACATTGTTAAATTTTTAACACTATTATGTAATGTGACCATATAATACATATGTGTATGCTTTTTTATATATTGTGCTAGAATATTTTGAAGCTTCCCTTTTGGAAGATATATATTTATGTGATTCTTCTATATATATCATCAGTTTTTTGTGTTTCTTTGGCGTTACATGTATTTTTTAACTAATATTTTGTGTCTATGGTGATCTTACTTTAATTTTATTTTGTGGTTCATAATAATAACCTAATATTACTAGTGATCAGTGTGATATTTGATAGTATATTGGGGAACAAGGTCAGTAAATGTATTATTTATTGATAATTATATTAAATATCTAAGTAATGAATAATGCTTGAATCGTGTTGGATACTATATATTCTACTGGTGAATCGGGTTTTATTTAAATCAGTTCATATTTAATTTTAATTTAATTAAATATTTAATTAAAGGCAATAGCATAGATAAACCTATTTCTTTAACAATGATCGATATAAATAATTTATTTATGATAATTCAATGGCATATTTCATTTTTTTCCATTTAATAAAAGATGTGAACTTTGGAATAAAGCTAACCTAGCCAAGGACATTATTCAAGAATAACTTTAGAAAGTTATTAGATTCTCTTTGAACACATTATTACAAAATCATTAGGAATTAATTAAGAATAAAATTTAATAATTAAATAACAAAAAAATCATATCAATTTCATTTAGTTATAAAGTAGTGATCGATTATAAATTTTAAAAAAAAGGTTAATTCAGCTAAAACTATTAATAAAAAAAATGAAAGTAGAAAGTGAGAGATTCTTTTAAAGGTGAATAATTTGACCTATGGTATAAATTCTCATTTTCCTTTTTCTTTTTGAAATTCTAATAAAATACTAGAATTATTCTGAAGTGATAAAAAGAATAAATCAATAAATGAAAGTCATTTTCTTAGGCCATATTGATATATTGTTGTGGCACATAAACCAATTAAGTTGAAAAATTTTCAATTTTTTTTTTATGATGTTGGGACTTGTTAAAATTAGGGTACACAAAGGCATCAATTTACCACTCAAGGATATATTTCATAGTGATCCTTATGTTGTTCTTACCATGGGTGATCAGGTACATGTTTTATGCATATTTTTTATGAGTTTAATCATATTGAGTGATCAAATATATCGTCTTTCAAAGGCATATCTGAAATAAATTTTTTGATAATATAATTGATTCAGATTTTATATTTTTATATGAAGAATATTACTATCATTAGTTATGATTATTGATTATTTACAACTTTTATCTTTTTAAAAAATCTCGATTTTATATCTTAGAACTTGTTACAAAACCAACAATTTGGTCTTAGACTATGTGTTTTTATGTTTAATGAAGTTTCTAAAAAGTTAACTTATATACTCTCTTTGTCTAATTAATTGTGTCGCTCCTTTTTTTAGTCCATTCAAATATAATAATTTTTATATTCAGTAACTTAGTACCATGCATCTTACTTTAATGAAATTATTTATAGACATACAAATATTTATTATCATAAGTTCTTTAAAAAAAATCTTTTTTTTTAACATTTCATTGTCTAATAAAATTTATAATATTATAAGAGAAAGTCGATCATTAAATTGATTAACCTGAGATGAAAATCTATCATGTTCGAATTCATTTTAATTTGTTTCTTTTATATATATATATATATATATATATATATATATATATAATAA